TACGGCCCCTCTAGACCCTTCACCACAGGGGATTTCTGGTGGGGTTTGTTTGGGTTTTTGTTAGATTTAACAGAGCACTAGAACTTTACTGCCCTGAATTCCCCCTCAGTTCCCAAGGCACTGGCTAAGCAGGAGTGAGAGCAGGCAGCTGTGTGGGGAACATCCCTGATGTGTGGGGAATGTCCCCAAGAGCCTCTGGGGTGGAGCACAGCTCCTGTTTGCTAAACACACGAGCTCTGGGCAGGAGGTGGGTGACACCAAGGAGGAGGATCCCTGAATACTGGAAAGATTCCATCAGCACAGAAATTACACATTGCTCCCAGTAACACAAACTTGTGCTTGTTGGAGACACAGGGGGAAATGAAACCTTAGGAAATGACCTCCTTCATTCAGACAGCAGCTCCTCCACTGCCCTGGAACAACATTCTGCATAGTTCTATTAAGACATTCTCTCAATTCTCACCACAAAGTCTTCTCCTTGCTCTTCAGACTGATTTTTCTAGGCCTAGTTCTAACTTGCTTCCCCTGCCCAGTTCTGCTGCCCAAACAAAGCATCCAGTGATTCCAGAGGGAGGCTCTGAGCTTCATCCCTGGCAGGGGTCAGACAGCAGTTTACCTTGACTGTGGAGGAAGAGGTTGCAATCTGAATCACTTGGGCCAGGAGGTTTTTGGGCAGTGGGAACTGTGTCAGGGCACGGATGGCAGTGTTGTCGTCGGTCATCTCAATGGAGCTCCCTCCTCGGCTGCAGGGGAGGAGAACAGGTGATGTACAAATGCCCCCTGTGTGCTCACACCCACCTCACTCCAGCAGCTGCTGAGCTCTCAAACAGGTGGGTAAAGCACAGATAACTCTGGTTGTGGCAGAGTCAAGCTGTCCCTTGCTGTTCAGATCTGTCAGTCGTAGAACAACCACCCAGCCCAGCAAAGCCACCCACTCCAAACCTTCACACTGAGGCTGCAAACCAGGCAGCATCGACAGCTTGTAACAGACTTCACAAATAAATCATTCCCAATCCAAAGAGCATCCCTAGAAATAACCACCACCACTGTGGCCTTACAGATCTTGCTCCTGTTGCCTATTAAAAACCCAAGATTTGTGCTCATAAAACATGAAGTCAAACAAGCAACTATGGTGATGAAAAGCAGCAGATTTAATGTTGCCCTCAGGGTGATCAAAACCAGGTCTAAGTCCACATAGATCATTTCTGGGAATGGAAATCTCTTTAGGCACAGAAGAGTAAGGCAGGTAACAAGCCTGGCAGCCTCTCCAAAGGGACAGCTCCAGGGAAGAAGCCTGTGCATTCCCTGGATGGCAGCCAGCTACAAGACCAGGCTGCCCAATATTGCTTTGGCCCATCTACAGGCCCCACCAGCTGCAGCTCAGCTGTGAGGAACTGCAGGGCTGGATCAGGCACAGGGAAAACCCTCGCTCCCCATGCCCTGGCTGAGCAGCTCCCGGGACAGACCCACCTGGCATCCCTGCCTGGGGTCCGGGCGTCCTGGTGTGCCATGGGCAGGTAATCCGAGACATCGATCGCTTCCTCCTCCAGCTCGCCCTCCTCCAGCTCCCCTTCCTCCAGCTCCCCCTCCTCCAGCTCTTCCCTCCTCATGGCTTTAGGCATCCTGCCCTGCTCCATGGGCTGGATGGAGTCGTCGGGCTCCATCCGCCGCCAGCAGGTGGACAGGTCTGCGAGGGAGGGCCCGGACTTGGAGCGCCACTTGCCCTCGGAGCACCAGCGCTCGTCGGGACAGCCCAGCTGGTCCGCCAGGAGCCGGTACTTGGCAGCGTCAAAGAGCTCGTTCCGGGGGCCCAGCAGCCCCCAGCCCTGGGGGAGAGACACACACAGTGATTCCTGCATTCCCCACCGCGAAACAGAGGAAGAGAAGGGATGTTCGGGGACTTTGAACTTCCCCCTGCCACTATTTGTTACCAAAGGGAACCTGGTGCCTGCCCTCCCTTCCCAAGGCACGGCTCTGAGCCCCACACAGCTCCTTAGGGTGGGCCAGGATTTACTGGGATTTTACAAACTCAGCCCTATTGAGCATCCTCAAGTTTTGAAACCACTCCCAGAGAAACTTAAAAGTAACAGTAAAGTAAAACATGTAATTGCCACACTGTGGCTTTGATGAAGAGGGAATTGGAGGATCTGAAGCTCCTGCGACTGCAGACACACCCAGGCGGGCTGGCAGAGATGAGCCCTAGTGAACAGCAACAGCAAACACACCTGAGGGAAGCTCTACTCGCTGCAGATGCTGACACTAAGGAGCTGACTGAGGTCCAGGACACAAGGAACAAGGAGCGGGACTCCAAGGGCTTAGTGAGTTCATGCCTGGCTGACGCAAGTGGCATTTTAAGCTCAAATGGATTCAGACTCAACACTTCACTCTCCACCCCTGACTAACAGGACAACTGAGAGAGTGAACAGGCAAAGAGAGAAAAAGATCCCCATCCCCAAAGGCCAGGCCTGCACCCCCCAGGGATCGTGCTCCCCGCTCACCTTGAAGAGCTGACAGGCCGCGGCGGCCGCCTGCCGCTCCGCGTCGATCTTCTTGGTCCCATAGCCCTCCACCTCCACGTTCTTGGGCCACTTGATGTGCAGAGTGACTTTCTGAAAAGCAGAGACAGCCAGCAAAGTGAGCCAGCACAGCCCAAGCTCTCCCCTGCCCCAGGAGCACACCCACTCCAGCCACCTCCCAACTCCAGGCAAAGAAAACTGTGGACAAAGCGCCTGCCTGGTGCCTTCGTGGGAAGTGCCATTCCAGGAGCACTGGAAATGGAAAAGCCTGAGCAGGGCACAGAGGTGCCACAGTCCCACAGGAGTGCAGGGCTGAGCCAGGTTGCAGTGTCACAGTGTGTCAGCTCCAAGGAATAAATGCCAGCTCATTCCAGGAGCAATTCCATTTCAGGGACCATTCTCTGCTAACTGCAGCACACCAGACCGTGCCCCAGAGCAACATGCCCTCTCCAACAGGATTCCAGCAAGGAAATCTCCATAACTGCTTCCTTATTGCAATGCAACCAGCAGCAGGTTGCCTCAGCTCCCCAGACAGCTCCTTTGGGCACAGGAGGATCCACCTCCAGCCCAACACAAGCACTGGGAGAACCACAGCCCCCCCAAAACTCCCCCTGGATGGGAGCATCCTCTAAATGGGAGCTAAAAACCTGCAGAGGCAAAGAATGCTGAAAGCTGAACCCTGCCATCATCAAAAAATTGCTCCAAATCATCTGCTCCCAGCCCTGCAGACGCTGGAAGGCTCCAGGAGGGAAATGCTTAGGGAATTCTCTCCTGTCTCTGCAGCACAGATGAAAGGTGGCATTTAGATCCGCTGGGAAAACCCCACCTCCAAGGCTGGAGCAAAGGCTCCTGCCTTTCCAGCAGCCTGCCCTGGCTGGCTGCCCACCTGCCAGCGGAACCTCAGCTCTCGGGAGGAAATTCCGACGGATTTTGCCTCGGGGCTCTGCGTGGAAAAGCAGGGAAAAAGGTGTCTCCTGAAGGCCAACTCACTCTGTGCTCACAAAAACCTCTGGGTCACTTCCAACCAGGAGCTCTCCAGGTTGTCCCACCTGTCTTTGCCCCACACACTTCCTGAGTTGGTTTTTTTGGGTTGGTTTGGGGGTTTTTTTTGTGATCCAACCCTCATTTTCTCCATGAGCTCCTGGTTTAGCTTTTGGTTTTAATCTGAAGTTATCCCCAACATCAATCTACTGAAGTGCCAGTAAGAATGTGAACTGATTACACAAACTAAAACTATGAGGCATTGGTTGTGGCATTCCAAAATTGAAGGATTAGGCACTGGCTGTGGTATTCCAAAACTTAAGTTAGGAAACTGCAGTGGAAAAGCAAGAAAAACAAACACAAATCATGAAGAACTCTGAAGTAACCATTACTAATGTATCCCTAAAATTCAGGGATGCTTAAAAAGGATGTGGCAATAAAAACTGTCTGGGAAATTTTAGACAGAATGTTATTGGAAAATGTTAATCCATCAGAATGGAGCCTTTTCCTGGAATGTACGTTCCAGTTAAACTTGAGCTGGAAAGGGCTCTCGGCTCTGGAATGAGCTGTGCTGTGACAGCAGGAGGCAGAGCCCTGCCCACGGAGCACCAGGGAGGTGTGTCCTGCAATCTGGGCCTCTCACAGCCCAGGGACAGCTCAAACCACCTGGAAAACTGTTTGCTTGGAATTCCTCACAAAAAAAAAGAGTCTGTATTTTGTTTTGCCCTTAAGTACCATGAGAACCCTCCCTCCTCGCACACAAATTCTTCTCTTCTGGTTGCAGTTGGACGTTTCAGGCTGTGGCATTTGTTCTACTGGAATCTACAACCAAATCTAGGCCTACTGAGGCCCAAAATACAGCATTTAAATTTTAATTTTCTAAGGCAGTGGGGTACCTTGGAGCACATTTAAGCACAGAGTACGTGTCTTTCTGCTGGGAAAAGCCAGATACAGCAAGTTACCCGAAAGAAAAATATCCATCCTTCCACACACAGAAAGAGGGACAGCACCTGCATTTATACACCTGTTAAAGCATGTGAAAATTAGGAGAAATGGGAGGAATTGGGAATATTTCTTGTTTAAAAGATTACGATGCAACTTTTATGTGGAATCAAAACACCTCTCTGATTTTCTCTAGGAAAGTTCCTCCCAGGATTACAGGTTTTTGGCTCCCTTCCCACTCATGTCCCTCCCATCTCCAGCCCCACGGGATTACCTTTTTCCTTGGCCCATTAGTGTGGATGTAGACCAGCTTGTCCCTTGCATGGGAAATGCCCAGGGCTCGTCCAATCACACTGTTGAGCAAGTTTTTAGGCTGTGGAAATTCCTTTAATAAGTCTCTGGAATCTGGAAAAAAAAACAGAGAGGAACTAAATGTCTTACAGTTCCTGTGCAGTCCTGTCCAAAGACATGTTCCAACACCTGCTCCAAGCAGCTCTGGGAGCATCTGTGTCTCAGGGTTACGGAGAGGGGAGTAAGGAGTGTTCAGTGGCTCACCCACAGCAACTCCAGGCATCAGCAAGATCATGGAACCATCCAGGTTGGAAAAGCCCTCCAAGGTCACAGATCCCCCCTGTGCCCGATGCCCCCCTTGTCCCCCAGCCCAGAGCACTGAGTGCCACGGCCAG